GAGTGGCTGGTGGGTTTGAACCACTGACCTGCCTCATCTTTGTCCTGGGGAGTGGCTGGTGGGTTTGAACCACTGACCTTTTGGTTAGCAGCTGAATGCCATAATCTCTGTACCACCAGAGCTCCTTCAATGTCATATAGCCAGTTGATAGCTACTGGCTCTATGATATGATAAAACACTTTCGTATAAGAGAAGGTATTATCCAGGAAGTTCTGGTTCAAAATGGCAAAAGATGTGGATATTAAGTGTTTAGTCAGAAAATTTTACCTCAGAAGGAAGACTCTATGTATGTGTGTATGTGTGTATGTGTGTGATTTCTCTATTTTCCAATCTACAATGTATCATTCCTTGATACTGTATACCTATTCCAGGCAAGTGTGCAGTAGTTGAACATTCTGACTATTCTTAATGATTCCATAACCAAATTTGCTTTAAGATCCCCAATTCCTTGTTGGTATGCATTCAGACAGTTAACAACTCAACAAATATATATTGAGTGCCTTTTCCATGCAATTATGATATGGGAGCTAAAATCTGTCTTGAGATCCCAGAGTGGTTAGACAGAAGTGTTAACACAGACTTAAAAAAAAAAAAATGAAAATAGTTTAATAGTGCTGTACATCAAACTACAGGATTGTAGAGAAACTGTTAAAAAGCACTCCCATTGACCACAGGACTCATTCAGAGGTTGTAGCCAGGGGTAGAGAGCTACAGCCTGTAACTGTGGCCATGGAATTAAGTCCACAGCAGAAGGAATGTCCAGACTCTGATTTGAGCCTGTAACTAGTCTCAGACAAGTCTACGTTTTATGTGCTCACTAGGTCACAGAAAGAACTCTGATGGTGCAGTGGTTAAAGCACTCATCTGCTAACAAAAAGCCTAGAGGTTCAAGCCCATCAGCTGCTCCACAGGGGAAAGACAAGGCAGTCTAGTTGCATAAAGATTTACAGATTTGGAATCCCTATGAGGCAATTCTATTGTGTCCTATATAGAGTCGCTATGGTTCAGAATCGACTCGATGGCAGTGGGTTTGGATTTGGTTTTGTATGTCACAGAAATATTCTGTTCTTTTGCTCCTCAAATACATCAACTCTTGAATTATCCAAAGTAAGTGATTTCAAGTTCACACAGGTTTTCCACAAACTAAGAGTGTCAAATTTATCTTAAAAGTGAATTTATATATATATATATATATATATATATATATATATATATATATAAATTCTCTACGTTGCTATGTGCCCTTGTCTTTGCAAGTGAAAAGAGAATAATCAATAATCAATGTGATTTTATATATCTATCACATTGATTATTGATTATTCTCTTTTTACTTGCAAAGACAAGGGCACATGGCAACGTAGAGAAGGAACAAGAAAGAAAAGTGTTCATGGTTTTGTCTTTTTTTTTTATAAATCTGTATAAATCTTTCCTTAAATGTTCTCAACAACCTTATGAAATTGTTATTTGATATCCATTACAGAGATGAGGCCACTACTCGTCAGTCAGTTTGTCATACTGTGGTAGCTTGTGAGTAGTTGTGATGCTGGAAGCTGTGCCACTTCAAATACCAGCAGGGTCACTCATGGTGGCAAATCTGCTGCAGAAGGCCTTTAAAGTTGTAAAGAGTAAAGATGTCACTTTGAAGACTAAGAGGTACCTTACCCAAGCCATAGTATTTTCAATCTCCTCATATGCATGTGAAAGCTCAACAATGAATAACGAAGACCAAAGAAGAATTGATGCCTTTGAATTGTGATATTGATGAAGAATACTGAAAATACCCTGGATTGTCAGCATGAACAAATCTGTCTTGGAACAAGGACAGCCTGAATGCTCCTTATAAGTGGGAATGGCCAGACTGTGTCTCACTTGCTTTGGTCATTGTTGTCAAAAGGGACCAGTTGCAGGAGAAGGATATCATGCTTGGTTAAGTAGAGGGTCAGCAAAAAAGGGGAAGACCCTCAATGAGATGGACTGACACAGTGGCTACAACAAGGGACTCAAGCACAGCAAGGATTGTGAGGATGATGCAGAACCAGGCCATGTTTCATTCTGCTGTACACAGGGTTGCTATTAGTTGGAGCTAACTCAATGGCACCTAACAAATACAACAACAGAGATGAAATAGATTATCAAAGAAGCTTGAAAATTTCCCCAAGGAGTTGACAGAAAGCAGCAGACCTGAGATTAAAATCCAGTTTATTTGACCTGAGAGCACTTGTTCACTTAATCACATAAGAACCAAAAGTGTTGCTAAGCCAAGTGGATATTCCTGTCTCAAATAACCAAGGAATCAAGTAGAATTTTCAAATTATTTACCCTGGACAAAGTACTGTTCTGGGATCTATGGAGAACTCAGAGATAAGTAAAACACAGACCCTATTTACCTAGAATGAACATCTTATTTGAAAGGACAGTTTATTTGCATAACCAAACCCAAAAAGCAAACCCAGTGCCAATTCTGACTCACAGCGACCATAAAGTACGAAGTAGAACTGCCCCATAAGGTTTCCTGGACTGCGAATCTTTGAGGAAGCAGATTGCCACATCTTTCTCCCATGGAGCAATTGGTTGGTTCAAGCCACCAACCTTTTGGTTAGCAGCTGTGACATTTCACTACTGTGCCATCAGGGCTCCATCTTGTTTCCAAAAGGTGTAAAAATTTAAACAAGAGGTGTTAAAAGTAAAACAACCCCAGAGGACAAAAATATAATCATTGTGGTTCCTTTAAGTATCAAAGTATCATGTTCTATGATTTCACTCTGGACTGAAGGTTAAATAGTGAAGCAAATTTGATGTGAAATCCGTGTCATGAAGTCCATTCGAATTTTAAAATCTTGAAACCTTGATAACATTTTGGTACCTTTTCTATTTTTTTCTTTTTCAATATACATTTTTTTTTTCCTTACAAAATTAGTTCTTGGTACATATATAGTTTTGCATCTTCTTTTTTATTATACACTTTATAAGCACTTTCTCACATTAATGGGAGTTAATACACATAGGGATTAATGATGTCGTAGTCATCAGAACTAAAGGAATCTGAAGAGAAAGTGATGGTACTCTCAGGCAATATGAGTCAAGATTCCACTTTGGCCCAAGACAGACTTTTCAAGAATTTGGTTTCACAATGGTTCTAGAGACACAGGTGGTAATTTGAGGAGTTAACTTGCCCTACCTCTGCCCTATCAATTGGTAAGCTCTTTCGGGCTGCCCCCAGATTGATGTCTCTTTCAGAGGGCAGCCTCTGGTGGTTGGGAATTGGGGCCAAGTGAATGTCCACAAAGGAAGATCATTCAAGCATTGGATAATCTGTTTTTCTGAAGCAGACTTGTTTACTAACTGGAAAGCCATTCACTAAAATGAACAAAAGACTTTTTCTATACAAACCAGATCCTGACCCTTGCCTTTAGCAAGGGTTCCCACTTTCTTTGGCAGGCTTCTTCCTGCTTGTGGCCAAACATAATCCTTACTGGTTGTACAAAGCTGTGGCTAGGGTCAAATATGCCATTATAGAATGAATGTAGGGACATGAGAATAAAGCAGCACTTTTATTTAAAAACTTAATGATTCTTGCAATGTTATATTTAAAAAAAAAAAAAAATTGCCGTCAGTTGATTCCAGTTCATGGTGACTCCGTGTGAGTCAGAGTAGAACTGTGCTCCATAGGGTTTTCAGTGGTTGACTTCTCAAAAGTAGATCACCAGGTTTTTCTTCTGAGACACTTCTAGATGGACTCAAATCTTCAATCACTCTGTTAGCAGCCAAGTTTGTTGACCATTTGCATCACTCAGGAACTCTATAGGTTAGATGTTGTTGTTGTTGTTATTTGCCATCGAGTCGGCCCCGACTCATAGCGACCCCTTCTTGAGTTTCCGAGGCAGTATCACTACGGAAGTAGGAATGCCCAACCTTCCTTCCGAGGAGTGCCTGGTGGATTTGAACCGCCAGCCTTCTGGTTAGCAGTCAAGTGCCTTAGGCACTATGCCACCAGAGCTCCTATAAGTTAGATAATACCACTTAATAGTCGTGGGAACGTACTTAGAGTGCCTGGGTTTGAATCCCGGCTGGTGGTGTGCTTCAGGCACGTACCTTAACCCTCTGCTCTTTTATTTAGTATAAAATGGTGACAAATGTATCAATTCCTTTATTGACAATTATATAATGGATGCATTGAATTCAGCCCAGGGTCAAGAACTTATGTTAACAGTTCTTAAATTTCAGGGTAATATATTCCCAATTTTGAAATAAAAGAATTCACAGAAATTATGTAATTTGCCCATGTCCACACAATAAGTTACATAGATGGTACTCAGCCAGGTCTATCCAATTCCAGAGATATAATTTCCCCCAACGTTTTTGTTCTCTAAAAGTGATCTTAAAGACATACTGTTAAATAAATGTAAGCGATATTTATTATACCAGTCAATGTGTTTACACTTCCTTCTTGGCCTGGGTGTGTCTTCAGTCTTTGCTCGCTATCCTCACCTCAGATCACCAAATTAAACCTCTTCCACCAACATAGTGGAGCAGCCTCAGAGCATGGATGTGGGCTGGTGACAGTGAAGCTAAGTTAGTCCTTGGTGTCCAGCTGTCTCTCCACTCCAAAAATAAAAACCAGACCAGTTGTTGTCACGTTGATTCTGACTCTTGGCAATCCCATGTGCTACAGAATAGAACTGTTCCATAGGGTTTTCTCGGCTGTAATCTTTATGAAAGTAGATTACTAGGCCTTTCTTCTACAGTGCTGTTCATTGGGTTCCAACTGCCAACATTTTGTAGCCAAGAACAACTTGTTTATACCACCTAGGGCCTTGTCTTTCCACTCAGGGGTGCCATTCTTTGGTATGGAGACAGGTGGGTAAGCTTAGTCTGCATAAGGTTGTGAAGCTGGATTCACTCTTTTGATTATGTGGGTTCTTGCCACACCCTCTTGCTGAGCCAAGTCCTGAAAGCCAAGCTCATTGTGTGTGATTTGTTTATGTATATTTTTTAGCTTGATGGATTATCCCATTATGATGGCAGACAGGACACGTGGTTCTGACAATCCTCAAGGAGGCCAGGAAAAGAGCAAGAGAGAGATCCTGAAGTCCACCAAGACGGCATGGACCCCCCTGGATCAACAGCTGCCTCCTGGCTTGGAAGAGGACAGCCAGGGTTGCACCAGTCCCACACTGGGTGAGAAGGGCCTCAGAACTATTTGAAGGGTTAGAGAGGGCATGAAGGCTTTTGGCTGGTGGCAGATGATTTGTGGACAAGGACTTGGATTTGATGGGGGGATTTTCAGTATCCCTGGCATGATGCCAGACTCTTCCATGAAATAGGCACATCTGACTTGCAACACAGATAACTCAGACTCAGATAAACCAATGAAAGAATGGACTCTATTTTCTTCCCATTCTAATCTTCCCTCATCTTGAATTCCCCAGGACCCTGAATCCATTTGAAGTTCACACCAGATGCATGGAACTTCTCCCAGGACATCAAACATTTACTTGAAAATATTTTATTTCTTGAGTCTTGCATGAGGTTTTCCTAATTATTTTAATCACTTAAAGAGTAATAATGAGAAAATGTTTCTCTCTACCCACCTAATGACATAACTGATGGTTTTACCTCCCTGCTCACCCTTCAACTCATTCTACTTCTTCACCCTACTTCAATTGGAAAATAAGAGCCTCCCACATCCACGAGAGTCCACAGGTGGTACAAGTGGTTAAGCATTGGGTTGCTAACTGAAAGTTTGGCAGTTCTAACCCACTCAGTGGTGCCTTAGCAGAAAAGCCTGGTGATTTGCTTCCAAAGGGTCATAGCCATGAAAACCCTCTGGAGTTTTCTCCACATGTTTCTGCACACGTGGAGTTGCCATGAGTCTGAATCCGTTGATAGCAACAGATATAACTCATATCCACGTGGCCTTTTCAATTAACCTGGCACCTTGGGAGGTGTTAACTCAACTGCTTTACTGTTTGGTAGGATAAAGTCAAAGAAAATCAGTCCAAAGTAACCCTTAGCAACCAGATTAGAAACAAATATTTAACAGGAAACCTGGCCTTTCTCCTGTCCTTTTTACTGGTTGACTGTGTGTTGAGGCAATGGTAAAGATCCACCTTAAAAAACTAGTGCTTTTTTAACACAGGGTGCCTTTGGCAATCCGGGGACTCTAGTGCAATTTGTCCCTGGAATGAATGCAAATTTGGTTTCTAACCTGGCAGAGAACTCTTTGCAAATAAACATCGTTGGCTGCCTGCCTTAGGTAAATGTCGTGATTCAATAAGGAGAGGCTCCGTGGTGATTTATATCCAACAAGAAAAAGACAAAAGTCTCCTATGCTTTTTCACCCTTCATATTCACACCAGGTAATTAAAAAATTACTCTAACATCTCCTGCTCTTCCGTGATTTATTTGTCTTCCCTTTCACATTGTCTTTCAAAAAAAAAAAAAAAAAAGTTACAGTCTTTTGGCAAGTTTACACTTCATTCTCAGGAAAGACTGATTATGGAAAAGAGGAAGTTTTGCCTTGGGAAAAAACATGAATATGCTTATAGAAACATGGGACTACAAATGTGGGAAATAGAACTGTTGAATGGTGGCAGAATGATGGGTTTGAGCTGGTTGTACGCTTGCTGACTGGTCTGTTTCTTTCTCGTTTGTACAACAAGATTCCAAACAAGAAAGTATTCAGCAGTGGCTGGACTCTGGATTCTTGTAAGTGTCTTTTTGTGCCCTTATTGTGAAATGATTTGGTCCTCTAGTGTTTGAATTCATGCTAGTGAGGTCCCTCACCTGCTTCCTACCTGGGCTCACTCTCCTGAAAGGTCCTTAGGAGAAATGGGTGTTTCTCTCTGTGTCCCCATCCCCAGTCTCAGCTCTGGTTGCTCTGATGCAAAGATATATGAAAACAAGGTGAGCAACCCTGCAGAGGAAAAGTGAGGCATATAGAGCTTTTTCTTTTAATTGGGTGCTTGAATGATTACCCTACTATTGCAAAAGCTGCATGTCAGTTTAAAAGTACAAAAATGAATGTTATTTCAGTCCCTGCCTACTTAATGGTTTCCAAAAGTCCTTTCTCAATAAAGCCTAACTGCATTTGCTTTTGTCTGTTTAATTAAAGAGAAATTTGTTATGATTTATCAACACACATTGTTTAACTCTCAATGATTTTGTTTCTTTGTAGTGTCTCTATAAATGGAAACTTTCAGCAAGGCATCCACCACACTGGTAAGACAAGAAAACCCAGAAGCAGTTACGCTTTGCAGAGCTGAGTAGGAGATGCATTAAAATGTCTGTATGAATAAATCTTCTTAAAATGAGCACAGTTAAAGGCTGCTAGAAATGGAAGAGATCTCAAAATCCATTCAGCTCAGTCCCTTCATTGAATATATGAGATGGAAACCCAGAAAGGACAATTTACTCAGGGGCAGATAAGGCTCCGAGAAAACAGGCTCTTGCCAAATCAGCAGTATGGAATTGGACAGAATTCCAGTCTCAGACTGGCAGGACACTCACTGGATTCTATGAGAGTCATTTGCAAGGATAAAATTAATTGTCTAATTTTTCAATTGTCTAATTTTTCCTCATACCATATTGTTATTTTATATCTCAATATAGCTTCTTCTCTTTCGCCTCAAAGTCTCACTCATCTCTTCCCTTTCTAATGATGCATTTGTTCTCAGTGAGAACAAATGACTGAATTCTAAAGCAAACAATACAAGTATTTCTGAGATAGAAGATGTATCACACTTGTTTCACTTAAATATGATAAAAGCACAATAAGAGAAAGAGAAATCTAATTATAAGTCTCACAGTTTTCATCTTTATTAAATGGGATAATGTTTTTCAACAGATTCTAAGACCTTTCAATTATAAGATGCAATCATATATGAAGTATCATTTAGACAGAATTAAAAAAAAACTGACTTAAAAATGAAAGACAACACATCCTGATTCACAGACATTAAAATGTCTATGAAAAAGTGTCTTAAAATTGTTAAAATACCATAAATAAATGTGTGAACAAAATTAATGAGAATTAAAATTCTAATTATTCCAGGGAAAATTACTAGTCTAGTATTGACTTCTTTGCTGCTTTTAATTATTTTACATTCTCTACTGCTATGTTAATTTAAGATTAACAACTGGCTACAAACCAGTTTAAATTTAGGATTTTTTACTTTATGTTCTGTTTTAAACTAGGTGTGCCATTGAAATTTCCTCTATCACCTACATTCTTTATTTTTTTAACACCAAAGTTCTACAATGTCAAAATCACTAAAGATTTTTGCTAACAAATTGAAGTCCCTCTGATAATAATATGTCAAAGTCAAAGGCAAGAACTTCAGAAATAAAGCCAGCATTTCACATGCCCCTGATGTTTCATCTTGCCTGGGTCAGGATGTAAGGCCAGGCAATGGTTACAGTGTTATCAGTAACCATGTGCAAAGCTGACTCCCCTGAAATTAAAGACAAATTATGGCCTTTTTTCTCTGAGTCAAGTCAATGAACTATAAAGGCACTGACATGAGGTAAGGACTGGAAGGAAAAAAAAGATTATCAACAAGGTTCTGAGATGAGAAATGTACAGTTTCATTTTGCCAGCTTCTTTATCTTCAGCAAGGTTGTTAATAATAATGGAATGGCTTCTTACAGGCTTAATTGAGCCTTTGCTTTTACAAGGCCTTTCCTCATCTATCATATTTTGAATTTGGTAACCTGTGTAGTACCGAGGCTTGTTCTCAATTTTGTTTTGCAGATCCAAAGAATGTAAGGCATAGTGTGGTCAAGTGCTGTGATTTGTGGTTACAGTTGGTTGGAGACAGGAGGAAAACCTGAGGCCCAGACATTCTGTCAGCCTCCCTCTGTGCTGAGATGGACACACACCAAGTGTCAGGAAGCCGAGCACCATACTGGGAAGTATGGAAGCTAGGGCACTACCAGAAACCTCTGACTTAATGGTCATTGTAAGAGTGGTAGTGAGAAAAAAACTGTGTGTAAATAAATAAATTAAAAAAAAAAAAAAAAAAAAAAAAAACCTCTAAGGAAGAGAAAGAAGTCACTGATGGGGGAAAAAAATTCTGTCCAATTCCATAAAATTGTGATATGATATAATTGTTTCCTAGGACTGGCATAAAAAATTGCTACCAACTTGGTGGCTTAAAACAACAAAATTTTATTCCTTAAAGTTCCAGAGGCTAGAAATCTGAAATTAAGATATTGGCAGGACTGTGCTCTCTTTGAAGGCTGGAGGGAAGAATCCTTCCCTGTCTCTTCCAGTTTCTGGTGGTTGTTGTCAATCCTTGGAGTTCCTTGGCTTGTACTGCATCACTCCAATCTCTACTTCTGTCTTCACATGCCCTCTTCTCCCTGTGTGAATCCGGGCATTCTCCCTTCTTTTAAGGACAACAGTCATTGGATTTTTGGTCCACCCCAATCTAGTATGACTTCATCTTAACTAACTACATCTGCACAGACCCTATTTGCAAATAAGGTCACATTCTGATGTTCTGAATGGACAAGAATTCTGAGTAAACCTATTGAACACAGTACAAGTGGAATTCATTTTAAGGTCAATTTTCTTCATTGACCCTATCATTAAACTCCTCAGAATGATTACTAACTGCACAGGCAAACAAGTTTGATTCTAGGTTTGAGCTCAACCAGAATCCACAAACCTTCCTATAATCACAAACACAACAGAACATTCAGAGCCTCGCTAGGGTCAAACATGGTACTAAAGCGACCAAGGGAATGGGACTGTGAGGGTCTCTCTTCCAAAGCTGCTGACTCATTCTTAATCCCAGATACCATCAGGATGCTATGTATAGGAAAGCCTGGAGAAAAGAGCCGATTTGTGGCACTGTTTCCCCATACCAGAGAACAAATTAAACACCAGTGCTCTCTAACTATGAGAGTGCCTTGTCATCATACTCCAAAGATACACATATAATGATTGCATGTTCCAACATGTAGGTTTATAGAACATACACTTGTTTAAAAAAACATACAACCATAATTGCTGGTGAGAAAACTAGAACTAATTCTTGCAGTTAACTAATTACATCTAATCTTTGTCTAATTACATCGTTATCAAATTACATCTAACTACGGCAAAGAGATAGTTTTTGTCAAAGATATGCTTGTTATCACTGATTGCTTGATAGTTGGTTAATCATTTGTCCTTTTTTATTTTTAGATATTTCTTCTCCAAACCCCTGACAGGTCCCAAAAGCTTAAAATTATATCTTTTCATAATTTATTAAATAGGAAAAATTTACAGATCAAATTATACATGTTGTGGTCTATATTGTAAGCAAAAGTTAAAGTGAATTCAATTAAGCATGATAAATGTTCCCTTAAAGCTTGTTGGATAAAGGCATTCAGAACAAGCAACTGTGCTAGATGGAAAGAGGAAGAAAATAAGGCTTCTGCTTCCAAGAATGTCACTGTGACTTTCTAGGACATTTGTTATCTGAATATAACTTACACCGCTTCTTCTATAATGCCTTCTAGTCATATTCTTTCTCATTTCAATCCCAGTTCATTATCTTTCATCATCCAACTCTTCCTGTTTCAAAATCTTTCCCATTCTGTTATCTTCTCAATTTTCTTTTGAGGTCTGACCTGTGTCCCATCTGTTCTATAGGCCCTTCCTGACTTCTCCAGCACAGAGAGACTCAGTCTCCCTTTTGAACACCAGTTGTTGTTGTTGTTGTTGTTATGTGCCGTCGAGTCGACCCCCGACTCATAGCGACCCCTCCTTGGGTTTCCGAGGCAGGCTTCCATGGAGTGGCTGGTGGGTTTGAACCAGCAACCTTCTGGTTAGCAGTAGTAGCACCTATTAAAGGAGCTCTGGTAGTACAGTGGGTAAGTGCTTGGTTGCTAACCGAAAAGTTGGAGGTTCTAACCCACCAGCCACTTCATGAAGAAGTCTGCTTCTGTAAAGAATTATGCTCTTGGAAACACTATGGGGGCAGTTACTCTGTCTACAGGATCACTAAGAGTCAGAACCAACTTGACAGCAGTGGGTTGGGTTTGGTTTCGAACATCTATTAGGTCCCTGGCTGGTGCAAATGGTTTGTGCTCATCTAAAAGGAACTCTAGTGGTGCAGTGGTTAAAGCAATTGGCTGCTAACCAAAAGGTCGGTGGTTTCATCTCACCAGCTACTCCATGGAAGAAAGATGAGGAAATCTGCTTCCATAAAGATTTGCAGCCTTAGAAACCTGACGGAAGTCTCTATGAGTCAGAAATGACTTCATGGCAGTGAGTTTGGTTTTGGTTTTTGGACTAATCAAAAGGTTAGTAGTTCAAACCCTATCAAGTTGCCATGGAAGAAATACCTGGTGATTTGTTGTAAAGATTACAGCCAAGAAAACCTCTGGAGCACAAGCCTATTCTGTAACACATGGGTTTCTCCATGAGTCAGAAACAAGTAGAAGGCAAGGGGTTTTGTTGTTGATGTTGTTGTTAACCACCAGCATGTGTTCTACCCATGTGACCCTTGGTTTGTGCTGCCTTATATTATTATGGATATGATCTGTCTCACTAACAAAATTGCAAACTCCACTGGGGCAGAAACCATGTGTAAATCATCTGATTTCACGAAAGCTGGTCAATATAAAGATCTCAGTAAAACTGGTTCATAATAAAAGAGGATGCAGTCAGATTGGGAAATCATCACAGGACTTGAGATGGGCAATAAAAAAATGTAACTTTGAACAAATAGAGCAGAAAGCTAGAAAATCTCATTTGGCAAGAGCAATCGGAGCTTGAACAAAGGCACAGAAATGAGAAGAATCTAAATGTGGACAGGAAAGCATATGAAAGGTGTCAGAACAGAAAAGTAGTTTCATACTAGGGAGCAAGGTGGAAATTTTTTGTTGTTAAATTGAGTGTGGCCAGATTATAAATGATCTTAAAATCTAACAAGGAGGAATTACACTTGATGCCATGGGACAAGGATGGCCAGGACGTGGCATCTTGTGTCAGAATATATCAAATGGATAAGTAGTTAAAACCATGGTATGAGTTGAGTAGAATTTCGATGTTGTATCTTTGTTCTCCTGGAAAGAAGGTCATGAATAGTTAGTGACAACTTCCATAGGTGTAGCACTGGGAAATTGAAGGAAGGGCATTACACATTTACCATGTCTATGTAAGGTTTTTGAGAAGAGGAATGACAGATTCCTCTGTCTAAATTGGTAGTAGGAAAAGAGTGCACATG